CTTGAACCTTCCAGCATCCTCCCCCCATCTCCATGTCCCCATGTCCCCACATCCCATGTCCCCATGGTGTCCCCCATGTCCCATCTCCCCACATCCCATGTCCTCCATGTCCCCATATCTCAACGTCCCACGTCCCCATGGTGTCCCCCATGTCCCCATGTCCTCCATGTCCCCATATCTCCATGTCCCCATGGTGTCCCCCATGTCCCCTACATCCTCCCACGTCCCCATCTCCCCATGGCCCCATGGCTCCATGTCCTTGTGTCCCATGTCCCATGTCTTCCACGTCCTCCATGTCCCCACATCTCCATGGTGTCCCCCATGTTCCTGCATCCCCCTGTCCCCATCTCCCCATGTCCCCACATCTCCATCTCCCCATGTTCCATGTCCCCATGTCTTCCACATCCCCACATCTCCATGGTGTCCCCCATGTTCCTGCATCCCCTTGTCCCCATGTCCCACCATCCCATGGTCCCACCTCCCCACATTCCCATGTCCCAAGTCCCACGTCCCCATGTCTCCATGTCCCATCTCCTCACATCCCATGTCCCCATGTCCACCACGTCCCCATATCTCCACGTCCCACATCCCCATGGTGTCTCCTGTGTCCCTACATCCTCCCACGTCCCATCTCCCCATGTCCCCACATCTCCATCTCCCCACGTCCCATCTCCCCATGTCCCATCTCCCCATGTCCCATGTCCTCCATGTCCCCACATCTCCACAGTGTCCCCCACGTTCCTGCATCCCCCTGTCCCATCTTCCCACGTCCCCACATCCCATGTCCCCATCTCTCCATGACCCACGTCCCCACATCTCAACGTCCCACATCCCCATGGTGTCTCCCGTGTCCCTACATCCTCCCACGTCCCATCTCCCCACATCTCCATCTCCCCATGCCCCATGTCCTCCATGTCCCCACATCTCCATGGTGTCCCCCAAGTTCCTGCATCCCCCTGTCCCAAATTTCCACGTCCCACGTCCCATGGTGTCCCCCCATCCCACATCCCCACGTCCCATGTCCCCATCTCCCCATGCCCCATGTCCTCCATGTCCCCACATCTCCATGGTGTCCCCCATGTCCCCTGTCCCCCTTACCCTCCCGTCCCCCGTGATGGTCCCCACCACGCTGAGGGGACGTGTCCCCATGTCCCATGTCCCATCTCCCCATGTCCCATGTCCCACATCCCCATCTCCCCAAGTCCCATGTCCCCATCTCTCCATGACCCATGTCCTCCGTGTCCCCACATCTCAACGTCCCAC